CTTCGGGCCGAAGCCAGTTCATCTGAACACCAACGGACTCACCTTCCGAAGAATCCCTTCTGCAAAATCTGCAACATCGCTAAGAACACCGCAATGCGTGTCGCTCGGAAACCAGGGGGGCGCAGTGATGATCAAGTAGATGCGCCAACTGCCCCATTCCAGCAACTCGCCACAGACAGTGTAATCTTAGCCAAGGGTGATGAGCACATTGGCGTAGGCATAGGAGGGATCAAGTCCAACCATGTCATCAGAGATGTGTTTTCCGGCGCAAGGGTCGCGTACCCGGTCTCCAAGCGGGACATCCCGTCGCACGCAAGGAACTTCCGCCATTTCGTAGGCCTCAAGGCCAACGAGCTCGCTCCGCATTGTCTCATTAAAATGGACGAGGCAGGAGAGTTGCAGGGAGCGGCCGAAGAGGTCGGGATGATCCCCGAAACTTCGTTGCCGAATCGCTGGCCACACAACTCCGAGCTTGAGCGTGATGTGCGCGAAGAGAAGGAATGTTGTAGGAGCATACACCATCAATCCGGTTTGCCCTACTCACTGCATACGCATTCCTACCCCTTTGCTTGCCTCTCGATGTCTTTCGACCGGCCTTCTACGTTTGATCCGTCAAAGACGCAATGGGAAGCACTCACCAAGGAAAAGTTCGATGGCACCCGCTGTTGCTTCGGACAACTGGTTTGGTATCGCCTCAAATCCGCAGGAAAGAGAACGTTAGAGCCTAACATGGCCCCAGGGCTATTCATGGGTTGGCGCATCGATCCCGGAATGCGATACCGAAGGGTACTCAAAGTCATGGATTACCAAAGTTTTAGGACCAATGGTGCTATAACTGTTCAAGACGTACCCGAACCTGAATTGTTCGTCGAGGAAGGCGATCCCGTCTTTCCAATCGCAGCTGCCGCCGACCGAGCTTTGCGAACAGGTGAAGGCGAGGCTCCAGAGTATGCAATCAGGGATGTTCCATTCATCCCCGAAGGCATCCCAGCCCCGTCAACTCCTTCCGGCATTAAGTCACGGAGTGTGTATATAACCATTGAACGCATTATAAAGTTCAAGGAGACCCCAGGTTGCAAGGCCTGTGCGGGTCACACAAGGAACCACACCGACGCTTGTCGAAAACGTTTCGCAGACCTCGTTGAAAGTGAAAAGGAAGAAGCAAAGGCTAGAAAAGTCGCCGCCGAGGAAGCCATAAAGCAGATTGAAGCAGACGAGGCAGCTGCTATACGCGCTGCAAAAGCATCTTCACCAGAACCTCCAGAAGTCACGGCTGTTGAAGAGGAAGATCCTGAGATCGTCCGTGCACTGCTTGGTGAACCCTCGTCGTCTCGGCCCAGTGGTCTGCATGCAGATGCTCTCCCCGCATCAACCAAACAGGATGAATGGGTTTACAAGCCCGATGGTAGCATGTTAATCCGTGTTCATCATCAGCCTAGGAAGCACCTGTTCACTCCCAATGATGTGAAGGAGTGTCCCGTGTCAGTAGGTAGGATCACGCCCGGCAGGACCACTCGCGTAGTGTCACAGCAAGATGGTAGCAAGGAAGACATCCATGATGGTTGGGCAGGTAGATTCTCAGCACACCGAGAACTTCCTGTACCATGGACTGGCATCACAATCTTTAGGTTGTATATGGATTCCAAGCAATTGGCTGCAGCTTTGAGCGCAGCACAAGAGCCAGATCTGTGTGCAGGGGAAATCCCCGTCAGTTCAGGAGCAGCCGTTACTGTGTCAACCGCATCAAGCACGCCGCTTGCCGAGACCACCAGAGACCAGCCATCCGTTTTCGGCAACCCATGCCAGCCTCAGGGGGGCGAGAAACGCCCACCGCATACCGTTGGTAATAAACGTGCTCGCAAGCGCCTCGCCCGAGGTGCAGTCGCCCCAATGTTTGAGTTTGCTTGTTCACCAAATTCCTCAATGGGTAATGTGTTCAAGGATCTTAATATTCCACATGTGCGATTAGCCAAAGAGTACATTGACTTAGGGTCAGCCGTTGCGGACGAGCAGCTCTCGTACCAACTCACGCAGTGTGTCCGTCCTAATTTGTGGGCAGCCATTCCATGTGTCTCAGGATCACCTTGGCAAAGGTTGAACCTTCATAGATTAGGAAAGCCGTTCAAGAAAAAGTTAGCAGAAAAAGTCAAGCAATCCAAGTTGATGTTCTCAAAATTTGCATTGCACGCAGAGCATGTTTTGAAGTTGGGCGGAGAAGTCACCTTCGAGTGGCCTCGCGATTGTGAAGGCTGGCAGAGACCAGATGTGGCCGAGTTTTTCGATCGTCACAAGGATGTGTTCCATGGCGTCTCGTTCCACGGCTGTGCTGTAGGTTTGACGGATGAGAATGGCTCACCCATCAAGAAGCCATGGCACATAAAGACCACATCCAAGACCCTTGCCGAAGCATTCACTGATCGTCAATGTCCGCACTCAAAGTCTGAAAAACATACTCCTGCCGCAGGGAGCCGAACCTCCCGCACTGCATTCTACCCTGAACAAGTGTGTGGCATGATTGCCAGAGCATTGTATCCGGATAAGTGTAAGGCCCCGGTTCATGCAATGCCCGTTGTTCCAGTTACTCAGCAGACGGAGCACCGTGTGAAGGAGCAAGCTCTGAAACACGAGTCTCCTCTCGCCGGAGCAGATGACTTCACCGTCCTCGTCGAATCCGATCCAAAGGCCAAGGAAATCATCGACGAGCTCCAGGATGTCTATGGTCTAATGGCTGCCGCCGTCGGCTTGCCCACCAAGGCTGCCGATTCGGAGGTCCATGCAATGGTCACTAAGCTCCTGTCAAGGGCAGAAATGCTCGCATCACCAGAGGCTTTGGAAGCCGTGAGACAGGAAGCGACCGGACTCCAAGACATCGGAGTGTGGGATGGTGCCACTGTCCTGGAGAAGGCTGAGGTCGCAGCTCAAGCGCGACGGTCTGGGATAAAGGTGCACTTCAGCCAACTCATGACGATCGCCAGTATCAAGTTCTTTGAACTGGCTAAGCACCTCCAGAAAGTGAAGGGGAGGATCGTCTTCAGGGGGGATTGCGCCAAGGACGAGGCCGGCGCGCCCGCCGTCTATCAGGAGCTTGGAGCTAATCCGACTTCTGTTCAAGGCCTCAACGCCTGTTTGGCGTACGGGTGCATCCCAGGACATAAGGTGACTACCGCTGACGCGGTCAAAGCCTACGTCCAGGCCTTCCTTAGCTTGCAGTTCCAGACGTGGATCGAACTCCCTCCGGAATTGCGGCCAAAGGAGTGGGGCAACAAGTTCGTCAAACCTGTCGTCTTGTTGATCCGTGCCCTGTATGGCCACCCCGATGCAGGAGGCCTTTGGGAGGCCCACTTGAAGAAGCTGCTTAAGCAGCTAGGAGGCGAGGAAGTCCCCGAATTTCCTGGCAACTTCTTCTTCAAGGATACTGGCCTGATGCTCTCGACATACGTCGACGATCTCACCCTCGCCGGTCCCGAAGGCGAACACGAAGCATTCTGGGCAAAACTCACAAAAATGATCAACGTAGAACCTCCAGAGCCCATCTTCCGAGTGCTCGGTCGCAATCATGTCTTCATCAATGGTCCCGCAGAACCCCAGGAATCTGAATTGAATGCAGCTGTAAGCGCATTAAAAGGTGCCGTTGCCTTTGACATGACAGACTACGCCCGACAAACCGTGGAACTGTTTTGTTCTATAACGGGCACTCAACCAGAGAAGCTCCGAAAAGTAGCTACGCCGTTCTGTCCAGACGGGTCACTTCCTCCGGAAGATGATGAGTCCGCTGGTGAGCTCGCCCCAAATGCGTGTAAACTCCTCATGAAGGCCCTATGGCTTGGACGTCTAGCGCGTCCGGATATCATCAAGCCCATAGGTGACCTAGCAACCGCAGTGCAGAAGTGGTCTCGCAATCACGATAGGCAGCTCGCCCGTCTCATTGCATACATTAACTCAACTACGCACTTTAGGTTGGTAGGTGTAATAAAAGATAACCCACAAGATCTTCACTTAGCATTATATGCAGATGCCGATTATGCGGGAGAGAGAGACGCGAAGTCCACCTCTGGCGGATTCCTCGTCCTCAAGGGCCCGAACACCCACTTCCCATTGGCATGGCTGAGCATTAACGCCAAACGTCAGTGTCCCGGTCCACGACCGAGAGTCGTGTCGCTCGCATTCTCACTATACCAGGAAGGTCTCCCTTCACTGAGTTTGTGGGAACGCCTGCTTGGCCGCCCAGTAGAGCTCGTGCTACATGAAGATAATCAAGCCACTATACTCGTTGCTAAGAAAGGCTACTCCCCGAAAATGCGGCACATACAGCGCACTCACAAGGTGAACTTGTCCGCACTTTCAGAGCAGCTTGAACCTGGCACAGGTGTAGTAATCAAGTACGTAGCAACAGATTTGCAAGTAGCCGACATCTTCACAAAAGCACTGCCGCCCATGAAGTGGGACCACGCATTAAAGCTTTTAGGCATTAGGACAAATTTGCCTGAAAAGTTGGAGGATGTTCGGCCCGGAGTGACTAAACAATAAGATAAACACAGAATTCTTGAGTAAGCCCTCTTTTGGTCTGGTATGGGACCTTGCATCACAAAGGTCGCTGCTCAAGCGCGACTGTATCATAAGTGTCTCTTCGTGAGCTCGGGGAGGGGGGAGTTGAATAATCACGACCCCTTGACCCCCAAAGAGGTACCCCCAAAGGGTACGCATGCATGTGATGCTTGAGGCCCTTGAGATCCGTGTTGGTTGAATTCACTCCGAATGGCACAATGCCATTTGGCTCAAGACTGAGTTGCCCATGTTTAACAAAGCAGGGTTTGCGCGCGCTTACTGGACTGGGGTTAATAAGGGTCCCGGTTTCTGGTTCGCTGTGTTTCTTTCCCTGTTGATTTGTTTACTTCTTATTTATTTTATTATTCACTCCTTTGATTTTTACTTTTTGGGGTAATTATGGTCCTCTCGGGATTTGGGGGGACAGCGGATTTGAATGGATTCAGCTTCGCCAGGTGCATTTGCTGACCTTGTCCCCGCCGCCTCGGAAAGTCTCCCGCGACGCCTCCTCCTCGCCCCGGGCGGGATGGATTAATTTAGGCATTTTGCTTAATATCGAGCAGTTGGTTACTTGGGGGGCTGCGACCCATTTAAGAGTTTGGATCAGTTTGGGGGGAGTCGGACCCCCCGTCTGAAACATGAAAGGTCCTCTTCGGGAACCTGTCTCCTTTGGTCCATTGGTTAGCGCCTATCCTTGGGTGGCATAGATAATAGGTGAATGGCTTCTTCTTGGAGTCGTGCCATCCACCCCTTTTGCGTGTTTTCAAGCATCACGATTCGGAAGCCAATTTTATTTGCGAGTCTAAGTGCTTGATTTGAAAGGGCCAGAAGGACGTCGGCATGTGGCACCCTGTGAAGTTGTGAAGGGAGGAAAGAACCATGTCGTGTTTAAGTCGCCAGGTACCCGCCGGCGAGTTGCATGCAGAAGTTTGCCTGTTGACCCCGCTGGGAAGATGATGGGACCCTACCCCTCAACCGTGTCTTTGTTTGAGGGTACGCTTTGTGTGCAACCAAAGGAAGCTGGATCTTCATGTTGGAGGCTCCATATTGGGGGGGGGTGTACCTCTTTTTGGGATGGTCCCAAAATCTTTTGGGGTTCCCCCGTTTTACGACACACCCAATTCCTCTTTTGAGACACATCCGTTTGAGGCAGTTTCCTAGTCACTTGGCCGAAAGGCGTCAGACCATCCGTCACAGTTCGGCCAGGCGCTTCGGTCACCGATGAGCGCGCAGGGCTTTGATGATAGGCCGGGGTGGGGGGGGGGGGGCAATCTGCGAGGTTGGAGGGTGTCTGAGGATAGGCCCGGGTCCATTTTTGACGAAATGACTTTTGGGTGTGGCGTGCATTTAGACCATGTCAGTTTAATGGAGCCGGTAAGCCAAAGGGACATAATGCTTACCATGAGTGAGCCAGGAGAGTCCTTTTTTGTGCAGGGATTCCTCTCAGGGAGGACGCCTTTGATTATCTGATTAACAGCTGTAGTAACTGCGGGGTAACCTGATTGACATCAGGTGTCAAGAGTTTCTAGGATTGTGGGTGCAGATCAGGGCTTGCTTGGGGAAACAGGCAAACCAATGCAGCCCAGTCTGGTGGCACCCAGTTCTTCTGTGGGATGGGCGTCCCTTTGATCCACCAGCCAAAAGAGAGTCCTTCCACTGGCTTCACCACGCGGGCGAACCACTGGGATGCAATTCCTGCAATTCCGGCCTTGTGGTTCACCCTCGGAGCTTTATGAGCCACTCCAAGGCTTTCGGGTTCATCCAGGGATCCCCACGAAGGAATGTATGGAAGACGATCCCTCAAACATAAATGGCAGCTACCCCATACATTGCCCCTTTGCCACGAGGGGAATCATGTATGGCATATGGAGGGGCAGCCCCTGGCTCTTCCCGCGGGAGTTGTTTGGTTCCTGAATCCGATGGCTTTGGATTACATGTCAATGGTGAGTGGTTCTTGGTTGAAATTGTACAGGCCGCAGGCCGAGCCAAGCGTTTTTGTTTTGCAGTCCCCTGCCGATGTCAATGGAATTGTTCAGGTACCACAGCAGGGATCCCCTTTTACAATATGCCGCGACTCATTGGAGTCTCGGGTTGTTTAGGGTTAAGCAGCCACAGTGGGTGAGAAGCTTGCTGTAACTAGGACTTGTACAAACACCTTCAAACAAATTGGTCCAACAAGAAAGTCTTGCAATAGGCTGGCTCCCCTTTAAACCTTCTAAGCAATTAAGTTCCCATTTCCAAATTGGGGAAGCAGCCGTGATCTGCCAGGGTCATGGCATGTTTGCTCCTGGACAATCAGCCGTGTGGAGGGATCCCTCATTCCAGGACACCCCAGGTTTGTACCGTCATCTCAGTTTGTAGGAGTTGCAGGTTGCTCAAGGCCCGCATTTGGTGTCTTGATGGGCATCTATGACGTTGCACCGTCCACAAGGCTAATGCTCAAGGTTCCGACGTGTTTTAGTACAGGGCCCTCCTACTTGGATGACCCTCCCAGCAAGTGGTCCCCACCCGGTGAATATGACTCCTAAGTGGGCAGTATGTAAGCGAAACCCTGCTTGGTGGACTCACCAAGTTTACGAAGCACTTACCAGGTCAGGTGGTCATCCAAGTAACCATGCTTATAACCAAGTTACCATGGTTCTAAGTCCCCGTCCTGAGCATTATAACTATGGTTACTGACCACTTCTCTCTGTGTGTGTGTGTGTCTTGTGTGTTTTTGTTTTTGATTGGTTTGGTGGGGACCAAGACAGGGGGTTCCTGAACAGGACGCCACCCACTTTGGGAGCTCCCCTATTTGACACACACACTTCATCCCTTCAAGTCAGCGTGACGCTAGGCTCGCCTCGAGCTCCAGCTTCCGACTTGAGCTGTCGGGGGACGGAGTGCTTGAGGCGCGGGTTTGGGCTTCGGGCGGCTCGCGCGAACACGGCGGTCCTTCGAACGCTCTGTTTGGGCGATCTCCCTTTTTCTAGGGAAGGTGTATGGGTTTGACAGGGGGTCCTCATGTTAGGTTCTGATTTTTTAAGGTACATTTGGGAGGGACATTGGGGGACCCAATAAATGTTCAAGAAGAACACCATGGGACTCACCCATGTTCCCATGTCCTTCGCGAAATCGCATAGTTTGACCGTGGCTCACGTGTCCGAAACCGACGGTTTCCTGGTTTGGGCTTCTTTGAAGTTCAGGTACGAGAAGGCGAACCTTTGGGCGAGGGAGAATGCCATCCACAGGGTCCCGTTGCTTGAGCATGCCCATGTTCAAGCCGCTATTGCTCAATCATGTGCGCGTCTCCTGGTCCAGGTGGCCTTGCGGGGTCATGTTAGATTCCATTTTAACACTATCCAAGATCGTTTCCCAGACCGAGACAGGATGGCAGTACGGCCGCCCAGCCTGAGGTTTGGGTTTGGACGTCTAAGCTTACTTCCCATGTTTCTGGATGTCATACTTTTTGGGACGACTGGTGGTAAACGACAAATTCGGACTTTTTGGGGCCAATCCACTCAGGAAGTGAGTAAGAGACAGCATTTGGATTTCCTGCTGCACGGCAGGTGCCTCTCAGCCGGCGGCGGATCGGGCCGATGTGCCTGCGCCAGCAGCCGGACTGCACACTGCGCCTTGGCAACTTTGATCTTCCAAGGGTTCTGATAAAAGCAGGGATTGTCTTGATTGAGTCCTTTTGGCATTATTAAATGAGGGAATCAGCCAAAGGCCCGCCAGATTTCAGGGTCCCGGAGGCTCAAGGCAAGTGTTTGAGCAAATCATGGCCACTTCAGAAAGTTGTTTTTTTGCGACCTCATGCAGGTCCCTTACGTCAGCTTGGTCAAAAAGGAGAAGGCAAGCCACCAGGACAGCTCAAAAAAGGCGGAAATTATCAGAGCGCCCCCATTGCCTGTTGGCTGAGGTTCGTGGGGCGGAAGCACCAGCCGGAGCTGCACAAGCAGGCGGTGGCGCCGGAGTGCCTGCGGTTCATGAGCCGCGACCACTTCAGCATCGCATGGGAGGTGGGCTTCAGGAGACCGACGGGGGGGTGGGGGGGGGTTGGGCTTGGGGCTTGGGGGGTTGGGAGGTTTGGGGCTTTGGGGCTTTGGGGCTTTGGTGGGTTGGGGGTTGCATTGTTTTTTGCACCGGCGATTGTGGGGCTGAGGTTGGGAGGTTGGCAAAGTGACAAGGTTGTCATGGGGCACACAAAGCGTCCATTGTCCAAGACCGCTTGTGGGGTTCATTTGGAGCAGGGTTGTGGGCTTGCTTCGGTCATGCCAGGCAGTGTTCCCAAGAGGAGTGTCATCGCGGCGGTTTTTCAAAGTATCACGCAAATTGTTTGGCTCCATTTGCCACGTCTCAGCATGCGTCCAGAAGTCCGCACGCCAACACAGCCGCCCTAGGGGTTCCAACTGCGCGGCTTATGTTTTCAGTTACGTTTGTAAGGGTAAATAAATCCCGCTTAGGGGACTCCACTCCAGGGTTGGCCACGCCACTTAGGCGGCCCACACACCAACTTGTGCCGCTTCTCACGGGGTTCCAAGAAGGGTGCCATACTTGGATAAGTTGTTCATACCCCCAGTTGGTAAGTCCCTTTAAGTTGGTTGCAGGGTAAATCCAGATTGGTAGCCACTTAGCAAGTGGGGTGGTCATTCAAGTAAGTAACTGTGCTTATAGCCAAATTATAATGCTTCTAAGTCCCCGTTCTGAGTAGAACCGTTTAACCATGGTTACCAACCACTTGCGCTTTGAAATTGGATGGCACAATTGCCCCATTTTGGTCTAGTCATCCCCTTTGCTTGCTATATTTTCAACGATGATCATTTAACCACCTCATATAACCCTTATTGCATGAGTGTCTCACTAGCGCGGATCGTGTGACTCACCGCGCATGGCTCAAGAAAACAGCGCGCTTAGCCAGGGTACACAAGGTGACCCTTTCAGGCTGTTTGGCCTAAACAATAGGTTATCAGCCGTAAGCGGCTCGGTGTACAGAGTTGTGCGCCATGGCAGATGATCCGGGGATTTCCCCGACCGAGGTTGCATCCATTCCTGATGGGCGCGTAGACGATTCTTCATCGCACTACGCTCCAACGACTCGAGCAAATTCAGAAGTGGCCAGAGAGCTCATCAGGAAGGGACAAGCTCTGAACAGTCACGGCCCCGCGTCGCAAAGATCAAGAAGCGACCGTGAGAGGCCTGGGCGATCCGGTGCCAGATCCCCGTCACCCGTTGACCTCGATCGGCATCAGCGTGAAGATGTTGTCATGTATGATCCCCGGGCTGATCATGCAAGGGGAAACCCTGTGCCATTGTCTTTGAACCAAGTCAATCACAGTGTTACGAACCTGCATCACGACCCATCATTGACAGTCAATCAAGATGTGGCCAACTACCAGCAAATCAACGCGACGCAGAACAATGCCCAGTTCAACCAGTACGTCAACCAAGATACTGGTCCCATTGTTGCCCAGGTCGCCGAGGCCCGCCATAGCGAGATCATCGCTGGACTTCAGAGTCAGTCTGACGCTATGAGGCGGGAGATTCAGGCGAATGCGGAGCAACGAACAAACACGCTACGCTCTGAACATGATGCTGAAGCCAAGTATCGCACTGCTATGTCAACCATCAGCGATCAGGAACGTCAGATTAATGAACTTCGAGCTTTGGTGCAAGAGATGATGAACAACCAAGCTCAACAACAAGCTCAACATGTTCCTGCCGCTGCTCCTCCTGCTCAACCAGCACCATCACCTGCGGCTACCATGCCCCCAGTGCCTATTGTTGCATCTCCGCCAGGTCTTTCGAACGCATCCATCAACAGTTGGTCCAAAGTCGGGAGTGACCCGTACGCCGACGGTGGATCGATCCCTCCTGGTAACCTTGGGGATGCAGCTCCTGGAAACGGTGAGCCCGATGGTGGTGATGGCGGCGATGGAGATGGGAAGAAAAAGAAAAAGAAGAAGAAGAAGAAGAAGAGCAAGAAAGATCGGAGCCGTCGGAGGCGCCGTGATCCATCATCTTCTCCTTCATCCTCATCTTCGTCATCGTCCACAGCATCGGATGAATCCTTTCGACGAAAGCTACTGAAGCACTTAGGGTCATCTGGGGATCCGTCAACAGAACGGGTTCGTGTAAAGGAAGGCGATCGAATTCACATTCCCCGTTTTCCGAAGCCCGAACAATACCGTAATTGGAGGATCAAAGTTAGGGATGCTGTTGTTGCTACTTCCGATAAACCTGAAAAGGCTTTTGAATGGATTGAGGCAACTTGGACCCCTGACCAGACCATTGAAGCTCTTCGTGCTTCAGGAATGTTCATTCACTTGAACGCGAAATTGGCATCAGCTCTCACCAACATCCTCGAGGGCGATCTCGCGAGGCAGGTCGACATCTTCAAAGAACAAGAAGCCAAGGACAAGCGCTACGCTCGGGGCCGCCAGATTCTTCTTATGGTTCATAAGCATTTCAGCACCAACATCAAGCATGGGGCTATTTATGACTTCGAAGATCTGTTGTCCGTTCAGCTCATCAATGAGGACTTGAGAAATTTCCTTACAAGATGGGACTCCGTTATTGCGGGAATGGGCAATGAGCAAAATGACAAGACCCTTGAAGCGCTTTTCCATAGGCAAGTGAGAAAGTATCGACCCCTCACTCATGATTTGAATGAGTATGAACGGGCAGAAGAGGGAACTGAGAAGCATTCATACCAGTTCTTGCTCGATGCTGCTAGGAATCATTTGGAGAGAAAACGACTTCTTCAGATGAGGGATGCTATGTCAAGTAATGCTACAGGACGTGGCCGGACTCCATCGAACAACCCTGCAGTTCCTGGAGTTCCCAAAGGTGTATGTATTAAATTTCAGACTGGCCAATGCACCTATGGAGCAGACTGTCGATTCGAGCATGTTAAAGCACCGAAGGGAAAGGGAAAAGGTAAAAAGGGCTCTTCACGATCCAATACCCCTCGAAAGTACCGAACTCAGAGTCCTCCGGGCTCTAAGCCTCAAGTTTGCAAGTTCTTCAAGGCCAACCGGTGCGACAGAGGTAAGGATTGTCCGTGGCAGCATCCTGCGGATCAGAAAGCCACGCCAGCCCCGAAGGCATCTAGTGGGGACACACCGAAGAATTCGCCAAGGGACAAGAAAGAGAAGAAGAAGAAGAAAAAGGGTAGCAGGCAATCTTCTCATGATTCAAAGGACTCCAAGGATTCCAAAGGGTCTCAATCCCTTAAGTCCCCTCGCTCGAGCAAGGGCGGAAGTGCGGCGGTGTGCCTTCTCCAGGCTATGGTGTGCGCCGCGACCATGGATTCGGTCGCCTCGTATCCTTGCCTACCTAGTGTGAACCTTCCTGATTTTCCGGCATTGCCATGCACAAGAAAATGCGTTCAATTCGCGGACTACACGAATACCACAAGTTTTGAGACTGAAGGCGAACTTTGGCCGTACATTGCTTCGTCCAGAAGGTTTGAACAAGAGTTCCCGGTCAACTTTGTTCCAAAACATGATGAAAGAGCCGTGTCCGACGCCGCGCTCATCGGATCTATGCATTTCAACATGGTGCATGAGATGTTGAAGGGTACCAATGCTCAATGTCAGTACCTTTGCGATTCAGACTTTGGTTGTGACCACTGCATTCCAGCAGGCCTAACGGCCGAGCCTGAAAAGCCAAAGGGTACTCCTCCGAAATCGAAGGCTGCTGTTGCTCGACTACCAATGGATTCTTCTCACATTCCATGGATTGCTGACACTGGGGCTGCGCAGGACCTGATGTCATCGTCGGAAGTTCAACCTGAGGACATTTATGAATCCTCATCCCCATTGAAGTTTTCAACTGCAAATGGGTGTATTTATGGTACAAAGCAAGCCGATGTGATGATCAGTCAGACCGACAGCGTAGTCAAACCATATGTCTTGGGTGAAACTCCCTCTGTTCTTTCCGTGGGTATGAGATGCCTAAAGGATGGTTATGACTTTGTTTGGAGGGCATACAGCAGACCTTATTTCAGACTACCCGATGGGAGGCGCATCAAGCTCGAGGTGAAGGATAATGTCCCATTCATCTGCCCGCCGGTCATGAGGGCCACGCCAGCAGTTTCCCAGAACATTCCTAGAGTCACTACTCTTCCATCAGCCCCCATAGAGGTTGAAGATGAAGTTTTGGTTATCGATGAAGAACCCGAAACTTTGGGAGAGCAGGTCATGGCGGAGGATGAAGCTGGGGACATGCTGGATGATGGAGATGAATTGGGCAATGACGACTTCTTGCTTGATGTACCAAGCCACCCACCGGAAGGTGAGGTCCAAGAAGAGCTCCCTGATATGTCTCATGAGGAAGCCCCAAAGGTCGTCGCTACGGATTTCGTTTCGAAACCTGTCGTGAAGGACGCTCCTCGGGAACGCGGTGAAGCTGCGCTACGGGACGAAGCTACTTCACTGCAGCACTTGATGTGTCATACCCCAAAGAACCCCTTTTGTGAAACATGCAACAGGGCAAAGATGTACAAGTATCCTTCAAGACAAAGGGGTGGATCAACTCAAGTGGAAGCAAAGAAGTTTGGCGATCACCTTACTGCGGACCACCTAATCACATCCGATGATCGTGAAGTTGGTATAGACCATTCTAGAGTTGCCCTCGTGATCCGAGATGTTGCGACCGATTTCCGTTATGTATATCCTGCAGCACGGAAAACCTCTCATCAATGTGTTATGGCTTTCAAGCACTTCATTCAAACGGGGGAGAGCGTGAACATATTTTACAGCGACAACGCCCCAGAACTCGTGAAAGCCGCCGATCAGATGGAGTGGAAACATGTTCAAAGTACAAACTACATTTCAAGAACCAACTCCATCGCTGAGAGGAACGTCAGGTCAATCATCGAAGGCACCCGGACTAATCTTGAACAAGCTGGTCTTCATCATTCCTATTGGCCGTTAGCGGCTAAGCACTATTGTATGGCTCACAACATCACCGATCACCCAGATTATTACTCACCTTGGAAAGTGCGATTCGGCGAAGATTTTCCTGGAC